GAATGTTGTTATGAATACAAAGCACAATACATGTTTTGAATTGTTTCCCCGTGCAAGCATGAATAAACATGCAAGAGTTCAAATTGCTTTGGCTGGCCATGTACTGTCATTTTGTTGGGTAATATGTAGTTCCATATTTTGTTCCCTGCCTCTAATGGCTTAATGGGTTTTTGTTTTTTTCAGTTTTGGCAGAATTAATTGAAAAGTTTGTGTTGCATCTTTATGAAAGCCCATCAGAATGTTACTTCAGCTCTGGAGTCAATAAAGGTCAGTTTTTCAACATTTTATTTGCATGCGGGCATTTCATATTTATATTTTAAAAGGGGGAAATTGTTTCTGTTACTTATGCTTTTGAAAAGATAAGCACATTTTAATATTTGTGGAGCAGTTAATCTATTCATTTTTCAAATGAGGGATCCCTACTGCTTTTGGGGGGTAAACCATGTTTGTTGAAATGTAGTATTGCTAATTATTAAAGGAATTTAATGCATTATATGTTCATTGCGAAGACCAATGTAAAAGCATGATGAAGTGGTAAAAGGTTTTATTGGCACTTAGTTGAGACTGAAACTGATTTGTAGTTGGCTTAGTAATGCTGCCACTTCAAACCAGTATCTGTAAAATCAGTCATGTATTTTGTATAGTGCACATAATTTACTACTTAAAATTATACCTGAGGAGGGTTTTCTTAAAGCCTTTACTTGTGGTATCTGTTCATCTCTGTTATTATCAGAATTCCATCTAGGTAGGAAAGGAAAGAAAAATAGCATTAATGCATTTTAAAAGGTCTGGAAATCAGAACTAGCTTTCCTTTACATTAATATAACATTTCTTAAAGCTGGATCCCATAATTACATGAATTCTACTGTTTACAGTTTGAAGAGTGAAGAAAAAACATACAAACACATCCCCCTAATGCATACTTCTACTTTAATGTAATGTCTGAAATATATATTTACTAGAACACTAATATATAGTATAATATATAATATATAGTATAATATATAATATATTATTTATTTATTTATTTATTTAATTTTTATATATATATATATAGTATTAGTGTGTATATGTGTGTGTGTGTATATATTTATTTATTTATTTATTTATTTACTGGACATTAAAAATGACATTATTTTAAATTTCTGTCTCAAAATCTAGGCTAAAGGTAAGCGCTGAATCTTTTTAGAAACATCCCTTTTTAGCATCATGTAATCTAGCCCTGCAGGGACACAAGATATCAGAAGTCACAGCCGTAAAATGTATAAATGTATAAAAAGCTGGCTCAAGTACTAATCTTTCATATTCTGGGACTTGGGTTGGTAAACAGGACAGGAAAATCGTACTACATTTGGGAAGAGAGAAAAATATTTCCCTGATGGCAGGTTTAAAAACTTCCCAGGAGTTCAGAATGTTAGACTAAATCCTGAAATTAGTAAGTGATGTGGTTATAGGCCTGTGTAGTCTCTCACATGTGTATTTCATTTGTCACTTGTATATTATCTTCACTACACAATATATATAGAAGTCTTAACCTCTTGCAATCCCCTAACATATATGAAAACTCTGTATAATTTTATATTGCTTTCTTGGAGGCCAGTGCTACAAAAATAATTTCAGTATCTATCTAAAGCTTTATTTTAAATCTTCGTTCTAAGGTCCGACAACACAGTCAGAAGTGAAAAAGGATTGGATAATAGTTAATAGTTTCATGCTGAGAGAGAACTGCTTTTCATCCCTCTGAACTGTAGGGGAGCTGGAAAGCTTGATCAGAATTACAGCAGTTTAAATAAGTGATGGTTGGATTAAACTGAAAAACTAAAAAACTGAAAAATATTCTGGTTTGGATTCAACCAATTTTTTTCAATTTTTTTTTATCAGCAAATTCCCTGCCCCAGTACACACACACACACACACACACACACACAATTTCATTTCACCAAATCAACAAACATTCAGTTTGTCATTATATATTTCTTCTGAGCGTTATTTTTAAAAAGTGCACAAACATACACACACAGATAAAGGAAAAGAAGGGCTAAATATGCTAAAATCATAGGTTTGAGTGATACCTATAGGTTGTCAACTTAACTGCTTGTACAGATGCAGGATACAGGCACCATTCTTAAACCATCCTAGACAGAGGCCTGTCTAGCCTCTTGAAAATCTCTGATGAACGACATTCTACAACTTCCCTGGGCCACTTTTCCATTGTCCTTAATTTTCCTGAGAACCACTGTTCTTTGTGGTAGCCTTTCAACCTACTTTTGTGGTCCTGTGGTAACTTCCTTTTTCTCCTTGCTAAGCATACATAGTTCTCTTAGCCTTTTATTATACATAACTTTCCATTTCAACCTTGTTATCATTTTTTGTTCATCCTTGCATCCTCTCCAGTTTCTCTACATCTTTCTAGAAGTGTAATGCCCAGAGCTGTACACATTGCTGCAGATAATACCTAATCAGCACTGAATAGTGTGTCTTTTTCCCCCTGCATGTTGAATATTACATTTCTGCTAACGCAGCCCAAAATGCAGCTTTTTGCACTGGAATCACATTACTGACTTAAGTTTGTGATCCACTGCAAGCCTTAAATCCTTCTCAGGAGTGCCAGTGCCTAACCAGTTGTCTTCCTTTCTTTATCTATGCATCAAATTCTTTTGTCCTGGGAATAGCTCATTATATTTGCCTCTTGAATTTTGTTTTATTGTCAGTAATTCAAATCTCTAATTCATCAATATGCTTTTGAATTCTAATCCTATCATACAAAGATTTTACAGCCTATCCCAGTTTTATGATACCTGCAAACTTAGCATTTCTAACCTTTCCACTTCTGCTAAATAGCATTGGATCCCAACAGATCCTTCTAGAATCCTTCTTGGCCATAGCCACACATACAGGCATATGCACTTGCAGCAGCTCAAATAGCAACAACACAAATTTGTGCCTGAGATTTATGCCTCAGCGCATGTGCCTGAATATGCACTTTGGTGTGGGGCAAATTGTGCCACTTGGGGCAAACTGACTCTGCCCAGTACCTGCATTGGCCCCAGCAGTATAAAAAGCTGCCCTGGTGAGTAGCTCAGGGCTACTTGCCCTCAGGAGCTTCTGAGGCCTGGCCAGTCAATATATGGGGACATTAACCCCCTGTGACAGCTGGATTGCTGCAACAGCCCTGACCTAGAGAGGCCCCTGCACCCTCTACCCACTGCAGCAGTCTGGCAGTGGAGGCTGTTGCCTGGCTGTGACCTGCTACCACCCGTGACAGCATCCGGCCCCTTGGACCTGCAGCCCTATATCTGCATGCCTGGACAGGGACCTCATGGCAACCTGGGCTCTGGTACAGGCACTGCAGCAGAGCTGCTTGCACCTCTGGTCCAGATGCCAGTGGGCCTTGACTCCAGAGTTGGCCTTTGTGCGGCACTGATGCCAGGTGTCCCCCCACTGTGCCTTCTGGGCAATAGCTGCCCAGATGATGTGCTCCTTATCGTGGCCTGCTTTGAACTGTCAAATATGTCCTCTTGGCCAAAAATGGCCAGGAGGTCAGCCACCTTGTCTATGTGAGGGGTCTGTGGGTGGGTATGTGGGGGATATTGGGGGAAGTTGGGTTTCCAGGTGAAATTGTGGGGGGTTTGTGGGTGGGTGTCTGGAGTTTGTAGGGGGGCTGCCACATGCCTGCCCCCACCCCCGTGCAGTGCAGAGCCTCCAGCGCTGACAGCAGCAGCCAGCCGGACTGTCAAGGTGCTCATGGCCTGCTGCAGACACAGCCCTGCAGTGGTGCTACACTGCCTGAGACCTGGAGGCTGCACATAGCAAATGGAGCTGTCCCAGCCTGGCCCACTGACACTCACTTTCGAACAGGACCAGGCCGGCTCCTGCTACCAGTCGGGGCCACTGACACTGCATTCAGGAGCTGCACACCATTGGGTTGGGCATGTGGAACCCCGTCCCGGCAGCACACAGCTCCTGCGTGCACTGCCAAGAGCCCCAGGTGGCCACAAGAGCCATTCCAATCCTGTCTGGAAGTGTGTGCTAGCGGGTCAGGCCATCTCTGTTCACCATGTGCAGCCCCCGGATCTCAGGCGGTGCTGCATCGCCACGGGGTAGTGCCTGCAGTGGGCCATGAGCACCCCCAAGGCCTGGCTGGCTGCTGCTGCCAGCGCCAGGGGCTCTGTGCTGCAGAGGGGTGGGCGGGGGCGAGTATGTGGCAGCCCCACTACAACCTCCCCCCCAAGAAATCCCACAGTATCCCCAACCCCACACAGTCCCTCCCCTACCTACAGCCCCCCCATCTCCAAATCCCTGCTTACTGGGGACAGAGACTGGGTCCCAGCTGCTGTTACCAGCCTTACCCTATTTCTGTTTCCCCCAGCACACTGAGGCAGCATGCTGGAGCAGCAGAAGCACACGACAGGCATAGAGATGCTCTGGGTGGGTGCTAGAGCATCTCCTTGGAGCACCTAGCCTCCGGTTGCCTCTGGGCACACTCCAGGAGCACACCCTGCACCACTTTTTTCCAGACTGTTTTCTTTAGATATTGGGATTTCCCAGTATCAGATTTAGAGTCTGTGTTGCAAATATGCAGCACAGGGAATTTTTTGTTTGTTTGTGGCGTGTCTCCTGTGGCGTCCCAAACTGCTTTGAGACATTGCAGCAGGCACGCGCTTGCTCATCTGGACATGACCCTTGAGGCTTACTGTCAATCTGACAGCTATACATTTATTATTACCCTTTGCTTCTGGTTATTCATTCCCCTAACAGTAATTCTAGCCCACGTTTACAGTTTATGCCTCAGACTACCATGCAGAACATAAAGAAGGATGAGTGGTGATAGTAACAGTAGTGTCATCCTTTTACCTGGTAGCTCAGGGGTTTGATTCAGGTTCAGTTCCATTCTCTACTTGAGATCTGAACCAGTGTCCCCAAGTTCCTAGAAGAGTGTCCTAATTACTAGGTGCCTGAGTATTTTTGATGGGAGAATATTCTTAGCCATTCCTGGTGAAACTAGTACACTTTTTTTATGAACAGGTTCAAATTCACTGGAATTGGAGCAGGAACTGGAACCCATACAAGTATGCAGCCTCCCAAGTGGAAGTCCTAATCGCTGAGTTTGGCAAATCCTTTACCCTCTCTTTATTTTAGTGACTACATATTTTATACAACATGCAACAGCTACTGAATTGAATACAGGATAAATCTAAGCCAAATTCAGTGGAACTGAATTTAAGTTGCCCATGTCCTATAAGTGCAATCTAACCCCTGAGATCTTG